TTCTGCTCTTTTCATCCATGGAGTAAAGCTTTCTTTGAACTCAAGGAGTGTTTTTTGTGATGCAGTAATACAAGGGAGTATGGAGCAATGAGAATTCAGCACATGGTGTGAAGACTTGGAGTATTTTGTCTTCAAAAGAATTGAGCCTTCAAAAGAGGTCTCTCTTTTCAATGACAAACTGAAGACCACAAGGCAGAATATTGAAGAAAAGGCTAAGGAAATATTTGAGCAAATAAAACTTTCATATTAGAAAGAAGGGAAAAATAGTTGTCCCATTTCAGAAGCAGAAATTTCTTAATTTTTCATGTCAAATCACTACAATTAGGTTCAGTCTCAGAACTCATGAAAACAGCTTTCAGATTGTCATTGGGTTAATAAACTAACATTTTCACTTTGAGGTCATAATATAGATCTTGATTTCAAATGGGCCTATGCAATGAATTTGTCAGTTATGAAGTTCAATTATTCTGGGACTTCCTGAATATTTCAAGAATGCCTCTGAGAAATATCTGACTGAATAATGGGAGGTAGGAATATTTATTCATTATCAATCATCACCCATTTGTTATATTTTCACTGTTGGGATGTTAATACACACATTAGTTATATGTGCAAGTTCTGCCAGTGTCTAACTTTTCGGAAAGCCCTAAGGCAAGTGGCAGGTATGCAGTACACAAACCAGAGACAAGATGGTGTCAAGCCAAGGTGATCTCTGTCCTCCCAGGAATAGAGGTGGCTGAAATAGAGGTGTGATTGAGAAAATGTGATTCTATAAGCAAAGGTACCTGAAGCAGTTCATCATTTGAACCTTGCTAATATGCTGATGTTTTACATATGAAGATTTCTGCCGATAAGACTTTAAGGAAGTGAAACTGCTGCCAAAAATTCATTACACAAAAATAATGCTGTAGATTCACTGCTATAATAGATACTGATAGTTATCATCTTTCTATTATGACACCTTTTCTAGGTTTCTATCACTCTTTGCAAGGGCTAGAGCTAGAAATACATATTTGCTTAGCTGTGTATCCTAAACCTTCATGTCTATGGGATGCAAGTTCTTTAATTTTCTTTTGCTTACATTCTATTTGTCCACTCACTATTTTCACTAGGTGTGGAAACAAAAATTCCACACCGAATCTCATGTTCACCTATGCCCCCACTGTAACAGCAACCTAGCTCATCAGGATAATCATAGCTTATTTTCTAATATTTATTTCTTTGTTTGTTTCCTGGTCCACTAATCTAAAGAAGATGAAGAAATCAGGGGATAATTTTAGGGTTACATGTAGTTATCTATCACAGACACCTTGCTTTACTCTCCAGCTCCTCCTTCAAAACCAAAGGATTTATTTCCTTAGCTCACAGAAGTTTACAGGCTGACAGCAAGCCCTTTTTGGGTTTTGTCAATGACTGAAAAAAGAGCCATCTTCTAAAAGTTATGTTTCCTTTCTGCAAAATCCTACATCCCAGATAGATTGGTGCAGCAGTATAAAGGTCAGAACTTCTTTCCCCAAATTGATGCAATAGTGAAGACAATCTCAGTTTCACAGTTCTTTATGTAATATGCTGAGGCACTGTGATTACCAAACAGTAGAATAACTTCCCTGTCTCCCCTGTGCTGTTATCATCTCTTTCCCTAAATATTGCTTCTACAAACGCTCCTTAATAAAATTTCTGAATGCTAACCTCCAACTCCAAGTTTGTGTTGATAGTGAGGACAGAGGAAGATACAATTAAAAACACTGAATTCTCAAATTTATAAACTAAAAGGACAAAGTTAGTGCAATCTTCCTTTCAGTGACTAAAACTTCCCTCTACATGTAATGTGAAACAAAAGCTACTACTCTACAAAAAAGAACAAACAAAGAAAAACACTTACACCCATCCAGGGGAATCTGACCCTATGACATCCCCTCCTGCCAGCTGTCTATAACAGCAGCTAGGTTTTAATCACAATATAATTCTGCCTAGGATGCTGGCATTGGTAGAGGAGAAGGTGGTCCATAGTGTCAAGTTGCTGGTAGGAAGCTGCAGACAATTCCTGAATATAACATGTACAGTCAAAATTGTATAAGATAAAGTTTTAAATACGAAATTGCTCCTGAGATTACAATTTGGGCATGTATTTCACAAGACAATGTTAAAACATGCAAGTGATGAGATTCAAAGTGAAATACAAATGTCAGAACTTCATGAATGGATCAGAAAAACTGGAGACGGAGTGGAACTGGAGATCATTATATTCAAAGAATTAACTCAGATACAGAAAGACAAGCACCATTGTTTTCACTAATATGGGGAATCTAAAGCAGTTAAACTAATAGAATTTAGAGAACATAGAGCATAGAGTACAATAGTGGTCAACAGAGGCCAGAGAGAAGACAAGGGAGTAATGGCTAAATCTAAAACAATGTGTGCTAAGTTAAAATCAGATAGGGAATAAAGTTCTAGTGTACTGTTGCACATTGGAGTCAATATACTAGGTAACACTAATGTTCTAATTTTCAAAAAGCTAGAAGAAAAGCTTTTGAAAGTTTTCGTCATAAAGAAATGACAAATGTTTGTAGAGATAAGATAGGTTTCACTTGATTTAAAATTTGTATACATATATATATACACACATATATATATGTGTGTATACACATGTACCAAAACATTACCTTGTAACCCATTAGTATGTATAAATTTTGTTTTTGTGTATGAGTTAAAACATAAAAATTTTACAAAAGAGATAATATTCAAAGAAAGAAATAAAAATATACCTTTATTTATAAAATATATAGGGAGCCAGGAAGAGTGGCAACTCATATTTCATAGCCCTGAAACGTTTTGTAAAATAGTTACCAATTGTGACCTGAAATTTAGAAAAATCATTCAGTGAACTTTCTCAGTTAAGTGATGAAATTCTGAGGTAGAATGTTATAAATGCCATGCATTTAACTTATCTCAGAATGTAATCTTTCAAAATACATAGAAGACTTAAAGAAATTGTCCAAATTGCAAATATAATTTAAAATAAATGTAGAGGGGTCAAAACTGCTGAATTTGAATACAATGCAGTTTTCAAGGTGCTGCCAAATAGATAAGGGCTCAGATAAGAAATTAAATCAAATATATCAGTGTAAGACCCTTCCCTTTCATAGAACTTCTGAAATAATTAGGGTGATACACAGTAGAGAATCTTCTAAAAAAGTGCATGTAGAAATCATAAGGCCTTGACCTACAGCAAAGCCATTCACTTACACTCAAGGCAGCTTTGATTAAATCTGAAAGAGTGAGTGTCTAAAAAGACCTGTGAGGTTTAAGACGAGACATAGGCAGATTATATCTTTTAGAGAGTTGTTAAAAGTGTCATCAGTTTTTCCTAAAGGCCACTGAAATTGTTCTAAATTCAAAAAATAAAAATTAAGAACAACAACAAAAAATTCTGAACTACACTTTTCTGTAGAGTACAAAAAGTTGAGAAAGTTCCTCAGTGAAGCCTACTTTCCAATTAAGTACATTTCCAGAAAGGAAAGATATCCCATACAGCAGAGCCCAAATCCCTGGAGAACAGTGAGCTGAAAGACACTGAAGAGAGGAGGGCCCCAAGGACTCTTCTCTTCTCCTGCAGAAAGGAGATGTGGGAATATTGGCTCATTAAATTTCAGTATTTCTCTAGGTCAATGAGATTTAAATGCTTCCTGCTTTTTTACTTATTTAATAGAAGTGTTTATTGTTATAACTCTGTTCATGTCTCAAAGTTGCATATAAAGTATTAAAATATAAGGAAAATAACTAGTCTTTTCAGGTTGTAGGTGTCCAAATGCAAAAGAGTCGTATCTGAAGAACTACATCCAAATCTGACAGAGTTCATGATATGCTGGTTCACTGAGACTCCTGCCAAGACAGGAAATAACTTTGGGACTTCTGAGATGGGACAGAGCATATTTAGCTGTGGGAGATATGTGAATGTGGGATCAGAGACTGAACTTGATAACATGGTTTTAAATACAGTTGCAATTTTCCAATCTTCTATATCCATACCTGTAGCAATATGACTGCAGCACTTCTCATCAAAAAAGGCAGTCTACTTCCCTATGCCATTGACCTGGGAGGGGGAGTAAATTGCAATAGAAGTGATGATGTTTTCGCACATTCATCAGACTATAAAGAAAGCCTTCAGTGTCATACTTGCTTCCAGAAAGAAATCATAAGCATATCATGAAATGGCTAGTACAGAGGATGATGATAGGTCACTGAAAGTGTCTCATATAGTTTCCATATATTATACTTTATGATGCATTTGAGACAGCCAAGAAGCCCTTGACTCATTTTCCCTGCCCAGGTTGAGGGCTAATGTGGTTTGGCCTGCCACTGTTGCACACCCTTCCCTTCACCTCCCTTTGCTCCCCTCCCACCATGGACTGGGACAACTTGCTTCATTGTCCTCCATGGCTATCTACCTGCCACTCTCCTCCATTTCACCCTAAGAGCACAGCTCTGCTGTCAGCCTGGCACTCATCTCTCTGACCATTTCAAACAAGGGAGGGTGCAGCCTGGTATGGCTGAGATCAGGGAGGGAGGGACCTGGGCCCCTTATTTGCATGCCTAATTCTCACAGCCAGCTTTCCAGAAGATTCCCCTACTTTAGCCCTCCATATTACTGACACAGGCCTGCAGCTGCTGTATAAGCCACATTCCCCATGTAGTTCTTGGGTGTAGTCTAGGAGTGCTCCTTCCTGTAACTGGCCCCATGCCCTGCTGCACAGGCCCTGTTAAAATAAACACTTGTCTTGGTGTTCCTGTAAACCTGCTTGTGCTTTATTTCTAGGGTAGTGTGGGCTACAAATATGTTGTAAATGTACTTGGGACTTTTATCCTCAGAATTGTGGACAGAGTGTTCATTTCAAAAAGAGAGGAATAAACACTAAGAGCTGCTAGCACTGAAGAACTCCAGAAAACAATAGCCAAGAAAGACCATAAGCAGAGACTAGCACCTGGTATAGTCAACTTACGGTGTCTGGCACAAGCTGGTGGTGACCAGCAGCAGGCTGTGTCAGCTGTCTGTACCCCTGGGATAATTCCCAGGTCATCAGGACAGCACAGCAGAGCTGCACTTCACTGATTCATGATTTTCATCTGAATTGAGCAAAAGAAACAGGTGAGTGGCAACACACTGAGTTGTATTTTTTTTTTTAATTTGAGACTTCCCTAATGTCAATTTCTACACAAACATTCTCATTTTCTAAAAATGTATTTAAACTTTGAACTAAAATTTAAGAAACTATCTTTTGTACACTGATTCTGTTTACATGTGATTTCTGTATGTTGTAATAAAGTCTTCAGGCTGGGGTTGAAGTGTTCTAACAGAGTGATTGTTCTAACAGAGCTATAGAGATGTGCCACACTCTGAGTCAGATTGAGTCTGTTTATTCAAAGCCAGTGACAGAGAGAGGCTAGTGCCAGGAAAGAACTCTCAGCACCAAAAAGCAGTTTGGTTTTTCTTTTTAAATCATGCTTTCAGTTGTGGAGGGCTCAAGGGGAGAACAAGCAGAATTTTACAGAAGCAGAGCCATGCCAGGTTGGTGGGGGTGAAGGGGGGTAGGGGGGTGGAGAGTGGGAGCCACAAGGAGGTTTCACATACTAGGTGAGCTACAAAACATCCTGCAGTAAGTTTTCTGCCAAACAGGATATGGGTTTTGAGTGCTTTGCCCAGCACAAGCACAAAATGGTGGTGAAGCTCAAGGTGGAGTTGGGTTGGTTATCACAGGAGCTCAGTAAAGTGTATGTTTAGTATGTACAAGATCCTGGGTTCAATATCCCTCACCACAAAAAACAAAAAAAAATAAAATAAAAAGTCTATTTTTAAAAAAACTTTTCAGTATTATACAATTGTATGTACAATCGTTAATACTCTAGATTACTGCTGATATATTCATTATGACCAATAGTATGAAAATAAATATTTATACCCCACCAAATCTTCAACAGATTCCAAATATTTTTGAAACATATGCAATATTAGAAAAGATATGCTAGCAATGAAAAAATATGCATAAAATTGCTTTTTTTAAATCACATAATGAAGGCAATTTCTAACAACTGGTTGTAATTTAGGAAATCAACTCCTTGCCTAATACTTGGAGTTAAATGCCAAAGCAAAGGAATTTAAAAAACAATCAAGAGTTGTACACTTTTTTAAAATTAATATATTCTCTCAAAGTTATTGACTGTAAGAAATGAGGCAGAATGATTTCTGCCTTTAAGACATAACTTTTCTCGTGTAAATTTGTTTACATAAAACCAATAAAATTTTGACATGTGCTAGATTTTTCTACTTCAGAAGATTGATAAACTCTTCAGATTTTTATGGACTGATTGAAAGGTAGAAATGTTCAATGTTGGCTTAATTTAGTATTATCTGAAATTTAGCCACTTACTTTTATTAAGCTTAGTAACTTGACATGTTACATTCCATAAATAAATAATGGTATATTTAAAGCATAGAGAAATTTTAATTCTGTTATTCTTAATTTATCATGGTTGCTTGGGGTTTTTTGTTTGTTTTGTTTTGTTTTGAGGCAGGCCTATTTGTCTCAAATGGCAACTTTCCAAGACCTCGGGCTGGCCTTGAACTCCTGATTTTCCTGCCTCAGCCTCCCAAGTGCTAGGATTAAAGACATATATCACCATGTTCAGTTATTAATGCTTTATGAAAATAGAAAACAATCTATGAGTATTGAATTGGTATATCTCTTAAATCTCCACAAATATATAATTAAAAATTTTATTAATATTCTCTTATATATGACTATAGTGAGTTTATTTTATATTCCTGGATTATATGACAATTATAAAGTTTTTCATATTATGTTAGTGTAATAAGTTTATTATTCCTTAAGGTTTTTTCCTAATGTCATTAGAAATTTGACATTTATTTTAAAATATTTGATAGAATTCACATTCATAGCTATCTGAACCAGAGGTTTTCCTATGGTAAGGTTCAAATTACAAATTGAATTTGTTTAATTTATGGGATAATTTAGGTTGTACCTCCATTTGTTAATTCTAATAATATAGACTTATAACTCATAATTACATGTGAACTGGGTAATTATTAACACAAAATTGTTCATAAAATTACTTTAATATTGTTTATATAACTGCAATAACATCTATAGTGATGTCTTTGTTTTCTGGTATTTTTTTTTCCCATTAAGTTTATTGGTACATTTTTGGTATAAAATATAGTTACATTCATCATTGGGATCTTGTACCATTACCTGAGTATCTTGGTTATTATTTTTTTCCCCTTCCCCTGCCCTCTCTTCACTCCCTCCACCCTTCCCTATTTGCAAAGGCTTTGTTTCCATTTTTTTCCTTTTCTCTTATTTTTTCTTTCCCTTCTGCTTTGTCACCCACTTCACCTGCTCCTTTAGATCTTTTCATCCTATTACATAATATCAATCATACATTTTTAAAATTATAATATTAAGATCTAGAAGACATTACCATAGATTTTACAGAATTTAAAAGGATATAGAAACCATATTACAAAAATCTGTTTTGAAATAAATTTGACAACTTTTAAGTACCTTGGAAGACAAATTAATGAAACTAACTCTGGAGGAAATATAAAATTTGAATAGC